ACTGTTCTACAACTTACTCTTCTCCCTCAGGATATTATGCCTTCAAGATCTAGACCAAGATAGAAGTCTAATTAATTCATTCTTTTAACCAAATAACCCAATCTATGACAATAACACCGTATCTTTAATTATTTCCTGCTGGTGGACTGTGTGAGATTACCACTGAATTTTTCTATTACGAGGAGCGCTTTTTAAAAAATCCCTGTGTACATCCGCATGGGAGCACACCAGAGAGTGTTTTTCTAGGACATGTGCACAGAGCTATTGCTTGGGCATTGAAGTGTGAGCACTTCCAACCGCAGGAGGCATCCTGGCCACTGTTTCTGCACGTATTTATAAGGATATGCTCATCCTGCTTATTTGGTTTAAAATCTGCTTTTCCCGCCCACCGTACACCTGCACACACACGCCTATCACAAGTGTACATTGGTGCCCATGGATCCTGCAAGGTCTTGTTGGGTACTTACTGCCAGGTAGGCGTTGGGTCTGTCTCCTCATCTCACTTCAGTCCTGCGAGGTTTTTGCACCTGTGAGGTGAGGGAGGCAAGTCATGCCGATGAAGGGATTTGCCAAAGGCCCCCGTCAGTAAGGAGGAAGCTGGGTTTCGATCCCAGGCTTCTTCCGTTCCAATCCAGTGCTCTGTCTGCGGCCCAAGCCCTGGCAGATGGTTCTACCCAAACCAGACTCAAGGGCCCCGTCCAAGACCTACTGAGTCGGAGTTAGCGGGGAGGGACCGGGACATCCACCTCTGGCACTCAATGCTCTGAATTCTTATGGGGGATCAGGAAGATGGGGCCGGTGTCTCTGGCCTGCTGGCTCCCTTGGAGCCACCTCCTTCCCGGTGTCCCACGGGATTTTTATTTTGAGTTGCTCGTGATCCTGTAAGCCTGGGGCGTGTCATCTTACCATCTGGCAACCGCAAAGAAGGAATAATTTGGCACGCGAACCTGAGAAAGCCTCGGGACCAGGACCGCAGGAGCCTTTGCTTTGAGAGGAACTTCTGTTACCATAGCAACTGCAGTCCACATCTCATCTTCAGGACCAGTGGATACGATGGAGAGCCAGCGAGGGAGAGCAGGGTGTGTGAGTGAGGGGCAGCTCGGCGAAGGTTCATAAGCAAGATGGGGAGGGGGGAGGGAAGAATGAAGAATGCAGCCTTTGGGGAACAGCCTTTGCCAAGCAGAGAACTGAGGGTTTCTCAGAGCCATCTTTTGCTTGGGGTGGGATGTCTCTACGACTGACCCTTGAATAATATGGGTTTAAACTACATGGGTCCACTTATATGTGGATTTTAAAAAATACATACTATACATTTATTTTCTCTTTCTGATGGTTTTCTTAATAAGAGTGCCTTCCCTGTAGCTTAGAAGAATATAATACATAATGCATATACAAAACATGTGTTCATTAGTTGCTTATGTTATCAGTAAGATTTCCGGTCAACAATAGGTTATGAGTCATTTGGGGGTGTGAAAAGTTATTTGCCGATTTTTTACTGCGTTAGGGGTTGTACCCTTAACTCCTGCGTTGATCGAGAGTCGACTGCGTAGTCCGTGGCCAGCTGGCCTCTCCTGTCCACTCAGGACTCGAGATGAGAAAGCAGGTCAAGGCCTCAGAGTGTGGGGCAAGGATGACAGCTGACATGTACCATGTCCTAAGCGTTTCACACACAGTATCCATGCGCCCCTCAAGGCGAGCTGAGGTGGCCCACGTGTTATGCCCAGTGCCAGGTTAAAAACAGAGTCTAGTCGGGCCCAGTGACCTTGCGAAGGTCGCACAGCACAGATAGGTTTGGATCATTGTGCTGTTTTCCCGAAGCCTCCGTTCTAAGCCATGAAGACAGAATTCCCTGGAGTGGCAACAGGTACGCAGATGCACTGGTGCCCAGGGAAGGTTGTGGACTCTCCTCCTTCCGGACCCTCCCATTTACACTTATCTCCCTTAATTCCTGCTCCAGCCCCAGCACCTGGGCCAAGTTCAGCAAATGTTCACGGGATTGAATGCAGGTGGTAATATGCTCATTTCTCAGCTTTCAGGATATTGTCACTCACACGCCCTCATGTTCCTGAGCACCGGGGGCGGTAGGGGGGCGAGGAGGAGTTCCAGAAATCAAACACACCCCAAAGCCAGGGTGTTGCATTCTTTGAGCTTCCTTTCCGTGGAGATTATGAATTGTCCTTCACTTCCCCTTGAGTGTGGTGGTGAAGAGGAGGGAATTCAATCTGGGCTTGCAGGGAGGGTGTCCTGCCTATGAACATCCTCTGTTGTGGGGGTGACCTGGTGACAAAAGACCGTTAAAGAGGCTGGAATGCTCTGGCCTGAGTGGCTGAAGCCCTCTGGGGCAGGGACTCTCAAAGCCGTCGCCACCACCCTCCTCTGCCGATGGTGCACTGCCTTGGCTCAGGCAGCTGCAGCAGGCCTTGGGAGATTAGCCCCCGGGGCTTGCAGGCTGACTGGTATCACCACTGTTCGTAAGTTCAGGGCTGGCCCAGCCCCGAGAAGCTGGAGGGAGTTAGGAAGACCACCTGGTTGTCAGCGCTCTCTGCCCCCACACCCTCGACACTGTCACTGAAACAGAAAGTAAGATGTTGGGTTTCAATTCAGTGGAGCAAAGCGGTTAAGAGTGTGGGCTCTGGACCTGGACAGCCTGGGTTCAAATCCCAGCTCTGTCATTTTTCTAGCAGTGTCATCCTGGACAAATCACTAAACTTCTTCGTGCCTCTGTTTCTCCACTTTGTGCGCTTGCTATGAAAATTAAATTGGTTAATTTATCTAAATTATTTTTTTAACTGCTTGGGTAACAGTTGTCCTTGCAGCTGGCAGCTCCTTCTCATTCTTAGTCAGTCAGTCAATCAACAAACACTGTGTTGGGCACCCTGGGGGCACAGGGCTGACTCAGCCTTGGGCCCTGCCCTCCAGGGTTCTCTGGTCTAGTAGAAGACCTGTGTGCCTTTATGCATGACAAAGTGTCTCCCCAGGCCCACAGAGATGATACAGAACTGAACTCGAGCCCTCCACAAACACATACGGTCATGCACAAACACATGGTCCCACACACAGATGTACCCACACAGAGGGGTACACACATGATCACAATCATACTCCCATAAACACACATGCCACAATCACACACACGTATGCACTGCAGCCAGCATCTCAATCCCCCCATCTCCCCAGCACACACAGAAATAGGTGGAAATACTGAAAACCACACTGGAGCACTGGGGCGGTTGCCATGGGAACCAGGATTCCAAAATCCTAACTTGAGGGTATCTGAATCCTTGCTCTGAATATTTCATTAGTCATGGAGTTCGTGCTCCGAATTCTGAGTCATTTCTCTTTCAGGGGTCAGGCGGGGCAGCCACACTGGGAGTTGGTGAGGACAAGCAATTAAAGGCCTGATTACTTTCTGTCTGAGTGATGGAGTGGCCCAGACAGGTGCTTGTGGGAGATCTCTGTCCCGAGGGGCGTGTGTGTGCATGCACATGCACGCTCATCTGGGTGTGAGTCCGGGGAATCTTCTTAGGTGAGGCTGAGAAAGTACAGTAGTCGTGCCCATGTCTGCAGCCCCTGTATCAGTCAGGCCAGGCCAGGTCAGGCTGTGGTAACAAATACGCCCCCAGTCTTCATGACTCAACACAGAAAAGGTTCACTTCTGACTCACACAAAATTCCGGCTGGGTCAACATCCCCCTTCCTCTTGTGGTGGCACCTGGGACCCAGGACCTCAAATACGGCCATGACAGAGAAGAAAGACCCAGAGGAGGCTCATTGCCTCTTACCTACCTTGTCCCCGCAGTGGACACACGTCCACCTGTCTAGGCTTCTATGGCCGCAACATATGTACAAGAGATGGGGAAATGGGGAGGCATTCTTTTGTGAGCACAGTCATCCCTGCTACAGCTCTCCCTTTGTGCTTCTGCAAACTGGACCGCCCCCGCCCAGCATGGAGCCCATTCCTTGGGGACAGTTCAAAGGCTGGCTCTGCCACTTGCTAGCTGGTGGCCTTGGGCCATGTATGACTCAGGGTCCTAACAGGAAACAGATGGCACACTCAAAATAGAAGTTTGAAGGGGGCTTATTTACAAAATCCCCTTTGCAAAGGACAATGCAGTAAAAGGAACTCAGAGCAGCTGAGCGGTTACCACCCTGGTCCAAGGACACAAGACCAGGGAGTTGCCAATGAGACATGAATAGGTGATTGGCTGCCTTGAAAGCATCAACAGAAGGACCGAGCCTGCCCAAAGGATCTCACTGGGAGGGAGCCAGGGAAATAAACACCATGACCTCCCTCCTGTCTCCACTGGGGCTCCCCAATGGCTGAGCCAAACAGAAGCCAAAGGGCCCGGGAAGATGCTAATTTAGACCAAACAGGTCATCCTCCCAGGGCCAAGTGGACACACGGTGTGCAAACACCTGACATAGTCAGTCCTCCACACATGTTGATTTCTCAGGGTCTGAAAGCCCCCTTTCCAGTCCAATGGATCACAGCTCAGGAGGCACCAGTTATCCTAAAGTCTGGTACGAATCTCTCAAGTTTTCCAAACAAAAGTGTGTTTACTAAAAATAACTCCATTTTCAAGATTCCTTGGTGCATCAAATATTTTACAGCTATTATCTCTTGTTAGCCCACAATATTTTCCTAAGGGCCTTGCCAACAAGTTGGGACTCTGGCAGAGAAAGTGACCGAGCCATCCATGGTCACTCAGCCAGCGAGTGGGTCTGGCCCCAAAGCCTGGTCCTTCCTCTCTGCCCTGCTGTGGTTTCCGAGGGCATGTGCACAACTCCCAGGTGAAGTGTAGAATGCTGCAATTCCGAAGCTTGAGAATTTCCCTCCCCTGAAGGGAGGCAAAGGAACCAAGGTCCAGGACCATGTCCTTCTCCAAAGGCCCTCTAGAGCTGTGGCAGGCTCCAGAAAGTGCCCCCTGCCCTTCCAGGCACCACCGTGCCCTCCACGCCTGAGTCTACTCGCTCACCACGGCTGCTGCTCCTTGATTTCAGGTCACCCGTCTCCAGCCCCATCTGGCCAGCGCAACACCAGCGGCACAGAGAGCCAGCCCTGGGAGCCAGGTGAGGAAATTATCCTTCTGGGATCCACGGTCAGCTTTCTGAGACTGCGCAGGTGGTGTCCTGGGGTGACTGAAAGGGGAAATGGACTTTTAGGGTACCAGGGAGGCTCCCTAACTTCAGACAACACCTCTCCTTCTTAAACCAGTGTCTGCAGGTCCACATTAGATTCCCCTGGAGGTCTTAGAACTACCATCTTTGAGAGGCCACTGATAAAAAGTCACATACACATGTCAGGGTGTGCAGTGAACATTTTAAAGGGATTTGCTGAGAACAAGCTAAAGGATCCTTGGTGAAGGTTGTGGGGGTTCCACCAGGTGGGTCTCAGATTACCTCGACAGATATTTATAAAGGACCTACTCCCTGCAGAGCTGCACACTGACACTGTGGGTGCAATCCTGGGCAAACATGGGCAGGTGGGCCCCCCAAGGGAGGGCTCTGGAGCAGGGGAGAGCCATCATACACACCACCCACCTGCGACCCCATCGCCAGCCCCACGTCTGTCTGTCCCCCAGGGTTCCGGGGCCGCTGTGGTGCTCCCTCGCAGCTAGTGCCCTGGGAGCAGCGGAGAGGCCTGGGAGGGGCAGTGTGGCGCCCGCAATACCAGGGGGGCCTCTGAGCCCAGAACTCTGTCCTTCCTTCACACAAGGGTGCTCTTGAGACAGGGGCAAGTGAGGAGGGTTTGGGGGGACTGGACCCCGGGTTCTCTGTTGCCCCAGGCCTAATTCATCCTAAACTTCAGGGTCACCCTCAGCCCCTCTTCCTGGCTGCAAGGAGAGCCAGAGGGTCAGGCGTCAAACGGGGCTTGGGGATGAACCCTCCCGGCCCCTTTTTACAGACTGGAAGGCTGAGGCCAGGAGTGGGGGTAGGGAATTGTCGGAAGTCACTTAGCAGGTCGGTGGTGGGGCCTCTGGCAGTAGCCTGCCCCCACCTATTCCTCGCGTGGGCAGAGTCTGTATCCGCGCCCCCAGGCCTCAGCTGGTGTGTGGTGTTTTCAGGGGAGCGGCCCGAGGTCCGCCTGGTGAACGGGAGCAGCCGCTGCAGCGGGACCGTGGAGGTTCAGCTAGGACAGTCCTGGGAGCCCCTGTGCCGGAAGTTCTGGGACCTCAACGCTGCGGAGGCCGTGTGCCAAGTGCTGGGCTGCGGAGGGGCAGAGACGGTGCCCAGCCAGCCAGCTCCGTTGTCATCGGAACTGCCACGGGACTGGGCCGCGAGGAACGCCAGTGGGACCCGGAATGCCACGCGGGCCCTGGTGCCCACAGTCCAGTGCAGAAGCCCCGAGTGGCAGTCCTGTGAGGTGGTGCAGCAGGAGTGCATCAGCAGGGGGCCAGTCCAGGTCACCTGTGCAGGTACAGTGGCCCGCCCCGCGCCTGCCAGCTGAGCCCCTGCTGGGGGAGGTGGGGAGAGCATCTATTCCCCGCCGGTCTTCAGTCAACGCCCCTCACTCCTGTCCCCAGCTCTGGGCACTAGACCCTGGCCTCCTCCCCCATACTTCACCCCCCAACCCCCATCAACGCAAACACAGCTGGTGCCCACACTTCGTATTATTTCCAGCTCTGAGTGTTTCCTCAGATCTGGCCTGCGGACCTTTCTCCCTGCTAGAACTCTGGCCGGCCCACTTGGTCCCCAATGCCACCCCTTAGGTCCCCAATCCTAACAGAGTCGTAGGCTTTACTTGCTGGTGCCTTCCCTCATCCTGCTCTGGACTTCTGTCTCCTTTATCTCCGTCCCTACCCACAGCGCACATAAATATGACAAGTTCCCAGGGCCCCTCAGCACTGCAACTCCCCAGCACCACGGCCTCGCTTTTCAGGCCCCGCCCACAGGTGTCAGGCCCCACCCACGAGTTTGCACCAGGCTACTAACCCCGTCCACTGGCTCCGCAGGAACCCTAGTCCTGACCAGTCCCCCTTTGTCTGCTCAGCAAGTCCCAGCCCTGCAGGTTTCCCTGTCCTGCCCACAGGGTTACAGCCCCTCTCCCTGGGTCCACAGCCCCACCCACAACTATCCGGCCCAGTCCCTACCACCGCTTCCCTTCCTGGCCCTCTTCCCACCCCCATCCACAAACCCCTTGCCCTCCCACCCCCAGAGAATCAAGCACTGCGGTTGGCGGAGGGTGGCAGCCGCTGTGCCGGCCGCGTGGAGATGCTGGAGCATGGCCAGTGGGGTTCTCTGTGTGATGACACGTGGGACCTGAAGGACGCCGACGTGGTGTGCAAGCAGCTGAGCTGCGGCTGGGCCATCCAGGCCCTGCCGGGCTTGCACTTCGCCCCTGGCCAGGGAGCCATCCACCGGGACCAGGTGAACTGCTCCGGGGCCGAGACCTACCTCTGGGACTGCCCAGGGCTGCCTGGGCACGGCTACTGTGGCCACAAGGAGGATGCTGGCGTGGTGTGCTCAGGTCAGTGCGCACCGTTTCTGAACCCCCGCCCTCCACCAGCCTCACTGCCAGCCTCCTGGGCACCCGGCCTGGAGTTAGTGCAGGAGACAGGGTCCCTGTCCTTGCGTGGTCACCATCCAGGAGGGAAGATGAGACCCAGACAAACATAGAGCCCCAGGGAGCGAGTGGCAAAAATCCTGAGAAAGGAAGCCAGGTGTGGTTTAGAGGCTGCAGGCAATCCAGAGCTAGAAGGATAAACCCGCCCACCTTCTGGAAGAGGCGGCCTTAGGGTGAGTTCTTCCCGAGGGAGAATTGGTCACGTGATTCAGAGCAGGGAGAGGCGCTGGAGGCTGGGAGGCCCCCCCCCCAGCAGGCTGTGGGCAGTCCAGATGAGGCCGTCCGGTCCAGCCAGTGCTTCTCTGTAATAGATGTAGGAGTCAGGCGGGGGGTCTTGTTAAATGTAAATTCTGATGCAGTCGGTCTGGGGCAGGACTTGAGATTCTGCATTTCTAACCAGATTCCAGGCGATGCAGCCGCTGCTGCTCCACGCCCCCACACGTGGAGGAGCAAGGGTGTAGGGCACGGAAGCCCAAGTAGAGGACAGGGGATGCGGATCCTGGGGGGAGAGCACACAGATCTGGAGACCTATGGGCTGCGGGGTGTTTGCATCCGTGGGCGTGGGCTGGTGGGAATCTGGGCCCAAAGATCCTGGCCTGATGCTGCCCACCCCCCTCCCCTGCAGAGCACCAGTCCTGGCGCCTGACCGGAGGCACTGACCGCTGCGAGGGGCAGGTGGAGGTGTTCTTCCGTGGGGTCTGGAGCACCGTGTGTGACAGCGAGTGGTACTTCACAGAGGCCCAGGTGCTCTGCCGTGCCTTGGGCTGCGGGACCGTGGACAAACGGCCCACGGGGCTGCCCCACTCCCTGTCGGGCAGGATGTTCTACTCATGCGAGGGAAACGAGACCACCCTCTCGGACTGTTTATGGCTCTTCAACAACTCCAATGTCTGCATGCAGTCCAAGGCAGCCAGGGTCCTCTGCTCAGGTACTCTTCCCCCCAACCCCCCTGCACCCTCACCTCAGATACTGACCAGGAATCCCACCGGAATCCGCAGCCTAAGAACTTGCAGCCCAAACAAAGACCACAGCGTAGGCCAGGTCAAGGATGACAAAGACTGGCATGAGAGGGGCCGCCGTCCCTAGCGTGCCCAGGCAGACGCTGCTAACTGATCAGGGCATCTTTTCCACAAATCCTCAACTCGGCCTCAGAGTCAAATACTTCCAGGGGTCTCTATGGACTGGGGTCGGTTCAGGGGATAGCACCAACTTGCCGTCCCAGGGCTGGTGACCACAGTAAGAACGCATCCGGAGACACTAATACTAATATCAGTGGCTGAGATGTGTCTGGAGTCCCGATCACGTCGCAGACGATGCCGAGCCCTGGGTTGTGTCTTACTTTGGCTGAGCCCCACACCCACTCCGTGAACTGGGTTCTACCGAACTTGAACAAATCTGAGATGGCCCTGATACGCCACTCCACTGTTATTTTATGTATGTTGATGGGGGCAAACACGCTGCCACAATAAACTCTTGGCATGTCACGAGATGGAACGATTTCAGAGGTGTTAAGGTGTGAAAAGGAGAGAGCGTTAGCCCTGAGGAAACGCGGTGTTAGCTGTGTCCGTGGAGTTCCGATGTCAAGCTACGGGGTCAGGGCCACCGTGTACCAGCCAGAAGGCCTCCGTTTCGAGACCACGTGGATGCCGATAGAGCCACTCCCAGGGTAGCTGGGAGATCAGAGAGCAGCACCATGGGACCTTGGGATTTTGCCTTCCCTTACCTGTCACGTGCTTATGATAATACTGAGCGCGGCAGCTTCCCACCCCCTGAGGCCCACCTGAAGAACAAACCCGAATGAGTGGAAAGGGGAATTGTGGTCTGTAGCAGATTCTATAGAAGGAAGAGATCAGTCTTTTTAATAGGCCTATATTCTTTTTTTTAAAGATTTTATTAAATTTTTTTTAGAGAGGGGAAGGGAGGGAGAAAGAGAGAGAGAGAGAAATATCCATGTGCGGTTGCCTCTCACATGGCCCCCACTGGGGACCTAGCCTGCAACCCAGGCATGTGCCCCGACTGGGAATTGAACTGGCAACCTTTTGGTTTGCAGCCCATGCTCAATGCATTGAGCTATGCCAGCCAGAGCTATTAGCCCTATATTCTAAGCAAAGGACCTTCCCAGCATTTAATCCATGCTGTACCTCCTTGTGGTAGGGGGTGGGAAAGACAGGTTTCCTTAGCCAGGTGCCCCCCTGGGACTGTGCCTCCTGTTCCAGGTCACCTGTTGTGTTCAGTTCCTGGCAGGAGGACTGGCACATAGTAGGTGCTGTGTGTCAAGCTGAGGGAGGTGTGTTTCCTGACAGGTTCCCAGAGGTTGCTCAATCTGTCCACTCCTGAAGTTCCTGCAAGTATGCAGCCAGTCACTGTAGGTGAGTGTCACTGGGTTCGCAGTGTCTCAGAGGCCCGGGTGCACTCGTGCATTTGCGTGTGTGTGTGTGTGTGTGTGTGTGTGTGTGTGTGTATCTGCCTGGGTGGGGCCAAATGGTTCGCCCTCTATCACCCACCTCCAGACGCTGGACTTGCCTCTTGGTGCCTTGTGGCCCTCCCCCCTTCCCACCCTCCCATGTCAGCTCCACCGCTCCCTAAATCCTGGTATTCCGTGGATAGGAGTCTACTTCCTGCTCTCCTGTGAGCTCCTGTAGGGCAGAAGGATAGAGCTGGAGAGCTGAGCTGGTCTGACACGGTGAGGATGCTGAGGGTGACAGCCAGTGTGTTTATAACGTCCCAGGCACTGGCCGAGCACTCTGGGTCCTTACTTCCCAACCCTCTAATCTTCCCAGCAGCCTCCTGAGGAGGTCTCATCATAACCCTTACACAGGGGAAGGAGGTCCAGCTCAGAGGCGAAGCGACAGCTAGCCAGTGTTGGCTGGAAGTTGCATCCAAGGTTCTGAATCCCAGCCCCACACTTGGTGCACCTGCCAGCTGTGTGTAGTTTGGCTGGCTTCAGGGCAGACTCTGAGGGCTCGAATCCCAGCTGTGCCTCTTGCTAGCTGTGTGATATTGGGCAGTTCTTAACCTCTCTGAGCCTCCGTTGCTTTGACTATAAAAATGGGATTGAAAACCATAGCGCCTTTCCTAGTGTTGCTGTAAGTCTCCAAAGAATGAATTTTCATAAAGCACTTAGAACAGGGATTAGCACACAGTAGGCGCCGCCTGGGCATCAGTTATTCTTGTGATCATTCAGTCCAGGCCTGGAGCCCCTGGCATGTTCACAACCAGGGGTGACTCGGAGTCACCTTCTCTGGGAAGGCCGCCTTTGTCTTTTCCATGGAGAATTAGGTGGCCCTGGCAGAGCCTCATGCCCCCAGGTCCCCACCCACAGCTCCATCACAGCACTGGATGGGGTTGAGCTGAGTTACTGATCCCCCCACTAGACAGAGATTGTGATGTCTTCTGACACTGTTGTCACACCATTGGGGCTCCGGGATGGTTGAGCAGAGAGAGATCCCTACGGGCTGAGGGCCAGGAGAAAGTTTCACTCAGGCAGTTATTCATTCAGGATGTGTTTCTTGAGCACCTACTATGTACAAGACACCTAAGAGCAGATGAGAAAAAAAAATGTTAAAGGGAAGAGGAGGCTAGGTCCAAAGAAAAAGCAGCTCAGCTGCAGACAGGTTGGAGAGGCGAGAAGAAGGGCAAGGAGGAGTCTGTGTCCATTCTTCTTCCTCCCTGATTTCGGGCTCTTGCTTCTAGAACCTTCTGTGACCGTGAAAACGGAGGACTGGCAATCTCGGGAGCTGATCCTCTTCATCGCCTCTATCATTCTGGGAATTCTCTTCCTTGTCTCACTCATTATCATTGCCATCATCCTCTTGAAAGTTAAAGGAAAATACGGTAAGTGCAGAATTCTGGGAGCCATAGGGAAGGCTCAGGGATGGGAAGGAGCTGGCCTGAGGTGCAACCCTCCCAGGGGGACCTGAGCTTGGGGGGCCCCATCAGGAGTAGCAGTGACTCAGCCATGGCCACCCAACCCTGGACCCCGGAGCACCTCCTGATGGGAAGGATTTTCCCAGCATACCCAGGAGAGGTGGACCAATGTGGGTCCCACGGGAGGTTCAGACTATGTGTGTGTGTGTGTGTGTGTGTGTGTGTATTTGGGCGGGCGGTGAGGAGGGAGATGTCTCAATGAGAACAGAACAGGCAGACTGGAAGGGGCCAAAAAATAACTTATAGAATCTCTGCCTCCCCTCCCTCAGCCCTCCCTGCTATGGTGAACCACCAACACCTACCTACCACCACCCCAGCAGGGGTCAATAGCTATCAAGAGGTCCCCATCACCATCCCCAAAGAAGAAGGTAGGATGTCAGCCACCCTGGGGGAGGGGAGGGCTGGAGAAGACAGGAAGGGTATGCTTTCTGGAGGATCCGCACTGTTTATGTCAAAGCAGTGTCCTCGCTGGGGAGGAGACCTGGGCCAGCCCGCTAGTGGCTGTGGGACCTTGAGCACACCAGGTCTTAGTCTGACGGGCAGGTGAGGTGCCAGTGCCATCATTCTGGGACCCTAGGCTTTTGAATTCTGGACAGACACAGCCCAGGGCATTTGGGACTGGGCTCTCATTGGAAATCTCCACTCTGCTAATTGGCTAGTCGGTTGTGGTACCAATACCTCTTTCAATGGCTTGCTCAGTCAGCCTCCCTGCAGAGCCCCGTCCAGGTTTTCCTGGAACGTGATTTTATTTCATGTTTTCCGAATGAAAAAAAAATAGATCATGCATCCATGTTTTGGGACATATGGATTTATACCTCTTGAAACTCTCGTAAAGGAGTTGGAGTGCAATCACATTGCATTGTGAGTATGTTAAGTCTCCTTTCCTTGAAAACCAGTGCAACACTCAGCCAAATATTATTACTCTTCTCTGCAGTATCCACATATCTGAGGAGAGAATGTGAGTAACAGAGCCCAGAACCAGGCTAGGCACCCACTGCACCGGGTGGCCTGGAGGTTGAGAGCCACCCTGCCTGCTTCTCTGGGCAAGGGAGCACCCTGTGCCCCAGTTTCCTCAGCTGTAAAATGGGGACACTACCGTCTCTCCCTCACGGAGTGCTTATGAGAATTAGATGATATTTGCACTCGTTAGAACAGTGCCTGGCGTGCAGTGACTGCTACGTGTTTGTCACAGAAGGAAATCTTACTTAGTTTCCTGTTGGAAATGGGTGGGAAGCGCTGGAAAAACCCGGGCTGGGGAGTCTCGGACAGATGGGCTGCCTGGCGCTCTCCTGCCTCTCTGCCCCGCCCCCCCGCGCCCCCCGCGCCCCCCGCCATCCACGCTGTCCGTCCGCTGTCCCTGCACGCTCCGCCCACCACTTGGCCACGCCCCCCGCTCTGTTCTCTCCCCAGTTCCCAAGCTGCCCTTCCAGGCCCAGGCCCCGCCCCCCGCAGACCCGGACTCCAGCTCGGAATCTGACTACGAGCACTACGACTTCAGCGCCCAGCCTCCCGTGGCCCTGACCACCTTCTACAGTGAGTGCCTGGGCCCGGGCGCCCGGAGGCCCTGTTGCCTGAGCCAGGGAGAGGGCCCAGATGCCTGGGGACCTTCAGTAGGTCCCACCTGATGACCCCCACACAACAAGGGTGGAAGCACCCTTGCTGCCCGCTGTGTTGACTGTAAATGGCCTCACACTGAAATTTTCAAAGTGCGTTTCGACCCTGGAGGCATCTCCATGCCCGCGGGCAATACCCGCTCTGGACCTTCTTCCCTCCTCCGTCTGCCTCTGGCCACACAGGGTCTTAAGGCCTGGCCTTCGGCACTCCCCCGAAGGAGGCTGTGTCTGTGTAAGACACGAGGGAGTCCAGGGGACAGACACAGTCCAGATGGCTTCCCGCACACTCCCACGCTCTTTCTGTGCCCCGGCCTCCCCCCCCTCCCCCACCTCCACTGTGAGCCCAGCTCTGCCTCCTGTCTGGCTTCCTCAGCTCTCCTCTCTGTCTCCTGGGGTGGCAGGGCCCACGCAAAGCCCAAAGCCCAAAGCCGGGAGGTTGAATGAGAGCAGAGAATCTCGCGCCTATTGTGGAGTCCCTTGGGAGCTTGTCACAAATTCCTGAGCCCCAACCCACACCTGCTACCAGAGTTAGGATGACAGCTAGGCTGTGTGTGACAGAGACGCCCAAATGACAGTGTCCTGAGACAGTGCCCAGGGCCCAGGCTCCTTCTCTCTTGCCGCTCTGCCGTCCCGAAGATGTTGCCCTTGTCCACGTGGTTCAGAATGGCTCACCACCGTGTCCACATCCCAGCCAGCAGGAAGGGGGAAGGGAAGGTGGGGCGTGCCCTCCCTTCCAGGCCAGAGATGCCCACGTGGCTCCCACCTGGGGTTCACCAGCTGGAACTTAAACCCACCAGCTGCAAGAGAGGCAAGGAGATGAAGCCACTGTCCTGGGCCACTGTATGTCCAGATAAAGGCCCAAGGGTCCCCTGCTGCAGGAGAGATATAGGGGACAGCCAGCCAGCCATCTCTGCTGCACCTGCTGGATCAGGGCCTCTTGGGGCGAGGGGACGCAAATAGCTCCACTTCGGGTCCCTGCACTGGCATTTGGGAGCCCCAGGCATGAGGTGTCCTTAGAACCTGAGATCCTGAGGCCAGGCGTGGAAGGTGTGAGACTGAGAGGCCCAAATCCTGGGACTCTGACACGAGGAGTCAGTGGTTCCAGGTTCGAAAGAGCTGACTGCGAGATCCCAGACACTGGAGTCTATAACATCCTCTGAGTCTGCTTCTCCTTGGTTCCAAAACGAAGGTGCCACAGAAACTGACAGAAAGATTCCTGACCCTCCAGCTTATGCTCTGGGCCAGATCCTCGAAGGGGCAAGGTCACACAAGGAGAGAACCCAGGACTTGATATTTCCTTACGTGGAGGGAGGGACAGCTGGGGACAAAGGGCGCAGGGTTTCTGGCCACAAGCAGCCTGTGCCTGTGCTGGTTTGAGACCGAGGTTCAGGGTCTTCTTGGACTAGGATGTAAGCCTGGGATCTGACAGGGAAGGCTAAGCCCCTCCGGGCCCCTGGGGTTGTCCTCCCGCCTGATCAGCCTCCGGGGCGCCCTCCTCCGGGCTCTCGGGACAAGGAGATGGAGCCTTCACCCCTCCTCACCACCCCATCTGCTTGTAGATTCCCAGCGACACCGAGTCACAGATGAGGAGGTCCAGCAGAGCAGGTTCCGGATGCCCGCCTTGGAGGAAGGTGAGCTGGACTGGGGCAGGGCCTGGAGGGGGCGATGCCGGCCCCGCCTGCAGATGCAGCAGCTGAGCTCACCTTTGTGGGAAGCTCCAGCATCTCCCCTCGACAGGTCCTTCCTGACTTGACCAGTCCAGGTGGCACTCCGTTCTTTGCCCAATCTGATCTAAAGCCTTCTTCTTTCCTCGCCATTCTCCCTTTCCTGGCCTGGGACTCGAAGAGGTGCATGCCTCCCGGGTCCCACCTGCCAACCCTGGACCCTGCGTTGCAGATCCCCCCTCCCTGGGCCGTCAGCAGCAGGTGAGGAGCCACAGCGAGTCCAGCACGTCGTCTGGGGAGGACTACTGCAACAGCCCCAGCAGCAGGCTGCCACCCTGGAACCCTCAGGGCTTTTCCTCAGAGAGGAGCCCCCTCCGGGAGCAGCCCCCGAACTTGGAGCTGGCCGGCTCCCAGGGAACTTTTTCAGGTAAGCTGAGCCAGGGGGACTCTGTGCGTGCCCTGTAGCCAACCTGGCTGGAGAAGTGATAAAGCTAAGAGCCTTGAACCAGGCTGAGTTCAAGAGTCTAGTCCCAGCCCTGCAGCCACTTGCTGTGTGACCTTGGACAAGTCTCGTCCCCTCTCTGGGCCTTCATTTCTTCGTTCATCAAGCTACAGACTTGACTCCATGGAGTCGTGAGGGACTCCCAGCTCTGGCAGTTTGTGTTCTGACTGTCTCCAGGCACAGGGTGACTGTCTCTGTCTCCATCAGGGCCCTCGGCTGATGACAGCTCCAGCACCTCATCTGGGGAGTGGTACCAGAACTTCAAGCCACCGCCCCAGCCCATTTCGGCGGAGCAGTTTGCATGTCCAGGTGCCAGCGGCAGGGGTGGGGGTTTGGGGAGGGGGACAGAGAGGGGCTGGGGAAAGGAGGAATGGGGGACATCTGGATCTATTAGGTACATCCGCCCAAGGAGAAAAGAAGAGAGGTAAAGGGATTAAAAAAAAACAAACCCAAAAAACCCAAAAGAAGAGAGGTAGGGAAAATGGGGGTAAATTGGACAGAGATTCAAAAAGAATGCTTTGAGAGGAAGTGAACCCCCCATCAGTGGGAGCATTCAAGCAGAAGCAACCAGATGGCCCCTTGGGGGGGAACTGTGGTGGCAGAGGGGCTGCCAGCATCAGTTGTCCATTGGGCACTGTGCCAGCGTAGGGACGACTGCCCTGGACAAAGATAAGGCCACCTTCTGGTGAGGGAGATGGCACATTCTGGTGAGGGAGACGGCAGTGATCAAGATGACAAGATGGGGTTCTTGTCACGCCTCGCCCCGCAGGATCACAGGGAGGGGGCGTGGACTCAGACCCACTCAGCTCTGTCCTGGGGCAGCTGGGGAACGATCAGGTCTCCCGCTGCCCCTAAGCGTCCCCCTGACCTGAGGCTCTTGGCCACACAGGATCCTCCGGTCCCCAGCCTGATTCTACCGATGACGACGACGACTACGACGACATCGGAGCAGGTTAGGCAGGGCCCAGCGAGGCTCCAGGTGGCTCCCTTCCACTGGACTCCGGCTCTACCTGCTCCCCTGCCCCGCCCCACCCTCCCAGATTGTGCCCCAGGGTGCTGAGAGGCCCCCCCTGGAGAGATGAAAGGAAGCTCCGCGCCCTGTACTTCTCAGTCTCCATCCATCAGGCCGAACCTGCTGGCACAGCCCTCTGCCAGCGCCCAACAGCAGCCCCAAGGTGGAGGTGCTGCGTCCGAGAGGCGGCGAGCTCTGTCTCAGGGATGCACAAGCAGTCTGGGCCGCCCCTCGGCCAGCGGCACGAAGGGGTTGAACCGGATGACTCCGGAAGCCCCTTCTGACCCCCGGGGCGTCTGGTGCTTTGGTGCCCTGAGTCTCAGACCGCTCGGGGCCCAGAAGTAATGGGAGGGGCAGAAGCCGGCTGTCCCAGTGCCACCCAGGAGACGCTGCGAGCAGGGCCTGCTGGGCTGCCGCCGCTCTGACAGGTAGCTTCTGGGGTTGGGGGAGCGGCACACCGGCGGATCCAGGCTTCCTTGGGCATAGGCAGCTGACAGTGAGCAGGACAACTGCCCCTGCCCCGACCCGCACCACCAAGAGACTGGGGCCTGAGGTCAGCCCTGCCTGTGGAGGCCCTCGGAGCCCACCAGGGTCACCACCTTGTTCTGCAGAATAAGGATGCCAAATCCTTATTCTGAGCTTCCAACAGTTTATGAAGATGACCCCAGCACAGACCCCGAGTTGTGTCCCAGTCCCTAAAGGGGCAGAGACTCCGAGATGTCTGCCAGGATGGGTCCAGAGGCTCACCAAGCCCCTGAGTGTCCCCCTCTGGCTGCGTGGACTGGTGGGAGACTCCCGGAGAAGCCTGTGAACAGGCAAGATAACGCCCAGAGCCACAGACGTGACCCGTCAGCCTCCCCAGAGAGGCTGGTGGAGGGTAGGGGCGCATGGGGGTGGGGGCGGGGCTTAGGGCCAGCTGCTTGGTGTCCTGTTCTGAGCATCCTGAGATTAAACTAATTGCTGAATGAAACCTGGGCATGGAGTGACAAATCCTTGAACCCTGTGGAACCCCAGGCTGTGTGTGGGCTGGGTGGGGGCAGCTCTGTCCACCAAGGCAAACTGGAAAACCTACTGTAGCCCGGCGCCGTGGAAAATGCTGGGGATACAGGGACAAGAGGATACAGGGCTTGCCCCCTGGAGGAGGTGGGCGCTGAGACAGCCACCGTACTCCCTGATCTATCTGCCCCTTACGGGCCCTGGCGCAGTGGGGCTGAAGTTGCTGTGCTGAGTGGATTCGAACCTGGGCCTCCAAAGCTCCTGAAGCAGGATAATGCGAGGGGTTCTATGCTCAGAGCTGCCTGGCCAAGAGGCTGATCCCAGGCCAGGGAGGAGATGGAGATGAAGCTGGTGGATGTGAAGGGGGCCGGGAAAGGACTCATGAAAGAGATTCTCCACCAGCTCAGGCACTGGGACTTGAGCCCAGCTCCGCCTTTGGGGTGGGGGCTCAAGCTCAGGTTTCCGCTGAGCCCGCCCAGAGCAGGGGGGTGGGTAGGCGAGGCTGGGCTGTGGGATCCTGCTCTGCGGGGCTGAGCAGGGCTGAGCAGGGCCTGTGTTCTGCTCACCTGTCCCACAGGTGGAGAGAAGGCTGGCACTCCCCAGGGCAACCGTCACAGGATGTGGTTGTTGCTGTGATGGGCCCCCTTCCCCAGGCCAAGGGGGATTCCTAGGGGAGGAGCCAGGGGTGGGGTGGGCGGGGACAGACTTCCAGAGCAGTTTGTGAAACAGCCTTTTTTGTCAGACAGCCTGGGTTCAAATCCAGACTCCACGCTGTCCTGGCTGTGTGGTCTCGGGCAAGTCACTCGACACCTCTGAGCCTTGGCCGAGAGTCTGTCTGTAAAGTGTGCACGGCAGTGGTAGGCACCACGCAGGTGACGGCCAGGGTTAGAGCCTGCAATGCATGTTTCCTCTCATGGGTAGATTAATCAATAGAGCCGAGCGATCTCCTTAAAAGGAGAAAAGGGAGAAGAGTAGAGAAGACAGCCAGCCATTCGTGCTGGAGGAGTAGGAGCATCTCGTCCTGCGCTCATCTGACTGATAAGGAGCTGAGGCCTGGCAGGGGAAAGGACTTGTCCAAGGTCACTCGGAGAGTTAATAGCCCAGTCGCCATTGGGCCCCACTCCACCCCGCCCTCACCCCCCAGGAAGATGGTGACACCTTCTTTTCCCCCAGAGTTCTCCCTCATTACTCCCCAGAGCCTCTCCCACCCTCATCCCCTCCCCCCCCTCCACTGCACCAGTCCAAGAGACCCTGGGCGACTCTGAGACTTGCCTCCCTTGCCCCTTCCCAGCCCCTGGGCAGCCTGGAGGCAGGAGACAGTCTAAGGGCTGGTGTCTGAAACCTGCAGAGCCGGCTTCCCGGGTTGGGTGATGGGGGCTGCTCACGGGGGTGGGGGGGGAGGAACGATGTTCGTGCCTCCAGGGCACTCAGACCACCCATCTGCGGGAACTCAGGGGCAGAGCAGGTGTGCGGGCCGGAGACCAGCGGTTATAAAAAGCCTCACAGCTCTGTGAGGGGAAACACCGTGACGCTGAATGGAGGTGGCAGCTGAATGGAGCCCAATTTTAGAAACATCCACACGGGAGGGGCACGTGCGGCGGGAGACTGACGCCCCGCGAACGTGTGGGGCCCAGGGGAGCCGCTGACCCTGCTGCAGAGGGGCCACCCGGGAAGGCTTCGGGGGGGGGGGGGCGATGCTGGAATGCAGTCACAAAGGAGGAGGAGGAGGAGGTAGCCGTGCAGGAGGTAGCCGTGGACTGAGAGAGGGAAGGGCAGTGCAGGCTGACGGAGCGGCATGAGCAAAGACAGAACGGGAAGCCCAGCAGCTCATGAGGTCGCAGGGGGTCCAGCCCAAGAGAAGACGCTGAGGACAGTCAAGGCTCAAACCCGCTTGTTCCCGGGGGAGAAGGTGGAGGCCCAAAGGGGCTCAGTGGTCGGCCCGAGTCACACAGTCGGACAGCATCTGGCCCTTTAGGGTCCTTCACGGCTCCGGACTCGTCAGTGCTCACAGCAGCCCGTGAGGTGTTCCCCCCCGCCCCCCGCCCCGTTAGGGTCGAGGGAGCCGAGCTCCCGAGGATTCGGAGTTTCTCCCAGGGCTGCCAGCCCGACGCGGAGGGCCGGGCCCTGGCTGCTCCTCCCTGTGGCCTCCTGACATGGCGGGGGCCACACGAAAGGGTCCTTTCTGTGCTCACTGCCCTGACCGCCCAGTGAGGGCATCATTCCCGCCCCAGCCCCGCCATTCATTGGCCTCCTCCTGACACCTGGGAGGGCCCGAAGGATGAGGACGGGACCCGGGCAGGACCGTCCCCCCAGGGTCCACGGGTCCCGTCTGCTCTCTGGGCTGCACGGACGTGGCCGGGAGGCTGGTCCCGGGAGTCAGGGTCAAGGCTCCAAGCCCCCGGCTGGGCATCGCCTGCCGGTACCCAACCTTTTCCACTGGAAACCTCACCTCTGAGGCACATCTGCCAAGCCACCACTCCACTCCCCATCCCTCCCTATCGCCCCATCTGTGGTTTCCACTTCCGTCCCCCCCTAAGCCCCTCCTGATGGCTCTGGAGCCGGGCAGAGGTGGCTGGAGCACCGTGGGGCCACGCGGTGTGGACCCCTCTTCGTCGTGGCCCCAGGCCCCGGTCCTGGCTTCGTGACGAGGGCATGGAGGCTCCAAAACGAGGAGCAGCAGGGGAGACCCATCAGGGAAGGACGAGTTCAAAGTCGCCTCAGTGGAAAGTTCATCTCTCCCCACATCCTTCAGCTGTTTACCAGTGTGACGGGGTTCTGGCATCCTGACATGAAAAGAGGCTCACCCCTCACCAGCATCATCGAGGAAGGACCAAAATAGCAGCAGAGGAAGACAAAGAAGAGAAAGACAAAGGGAGAGGGGAGAGAGAGAGAGAGAGAGAGAGAGAGAGAGAGTGGTGAGACCGAGAGAAAAAGAAGCGGAGGCCACTCGTGTCTGAGCAGACATTGGGAGACACGGCAGGCCCCATGAGGCCACCTGGGTCCCCTCCTCTGGACACTGTCCAGATCCCTTACTTGATCCTCAAACCCCAAACCCTCAGGGCAGTCAAGTATCCTAATTGCTATTGTCTTCTGGGTGAGCACAGGGAAGCCCAGAGGAGTCTCAGAACTAGTTCGAGGACACCCAGCTAGGAGCCCGGGAGCCGGACACCCAGTAGGGCCCCGCCCAGACGGCAGGAAGGAGGAGAGGAAGGAAACTGGAAAGGCAGGAGGCGGGAGAGCCAGAAGGGGGTGGGGGCCAGGGAAGGATGGAGAGACCTTCTTTCTTGGGGAAGGATAGCTCCCCCAAGAGGACCCAGCGCCATCCCGGCTGAAGCAGGTGCCTGTTCCCATCTCTCCTTCCCTAGGCCCACAGCCCTGGCTGCCCAAGTGCAGCAGGAGGAGAGGCAGTCACTACAGCGCCATGGGCTCTGCCCGAGAGTCACTCCCCTTCTGAGTGACTTAGTCCACAGCACCCGCTGCCTGTGGGTCTCCTGCCTTCTCTGCCATGGCTGAGCCGGGGTCACACTTGCCTCTCTGTCCACTGTCGCACAGCAGGGAGAGAAAATGGTCCACGTCCACTCTCTCACAGACACGTCCTCCCCAGGGCCCCCAGGCCGCACCCGGCTCTCTCTCCGGGAGACACTGTTATTCCCCAGGTCGGAGCTCCTGCTTCCCTCCACTCTGGGTGTGGCCTCACCTCCCTCAGGGCCTCGCTCAGACGCCCTGCCTGGCCGCTGGAGGCTGCTGTCCTCTGAGGACCAGAGGCTAAAATAACTGGGGCCAGTGATCCCCAACTCTTCTGCAAGCCAGGACACAGTGAGACCCTGTCGCATGACCACGAGGGGCACCCTCCTCTCCAAACCGGCGGCCCCTGCTGTGGCAGAGCCCTGACCTCCCGCTGTTCGCGCCATTTCCTGCTCTGGCTCTCATTGCTCTCCCTGTCTTGGGAACCTGAAAAAGAGGTGGGTGCACCCTGCAGGCAGCGGAGAGTGAGCCCGAGTTCCAGGCACAGGGCAACAGCCCGAGACACAGAGGTGTGGTCCCGCGCAGAGCCTGCCTGTCGGCAAGAACACCTCTTCCTGTGAGAAGGCCCCTGTGGGCTCTGAGGTCGGGACCACCCACCTGGGGGGCATAGTGCAGGGCCCGAGGTAGCCAGGTCACCACCCTGCAGTTCCGGCTACGGGAACCCCCTGCAGTGTGGGGCGATGGCCATTCAGGGGCAGAATAAAGTGGGTTGAAACCAATATTTCCCAAACCTCAGTTTTTCTTGTTTTTTTTCCTGTGGACCTTTTGTTCTCTTGCCTCCTTAATAGGTTTTCTTTCAATGGATTCACATTTTTCAAAAACTGAAATTTATTGTAAAAGCCATCTTTAGCCGTTTTACAAAATACCCACAGTGTGCTTTTCGAAAATGCTAATGTCGTAGAACACAGAGACACAAGAACGGTTTCAGACGACAGGAACTAGAGAGACGTGGCGAGGTGTCATCTGGGATGTCCCACCCTCGCTAGGCAGGGCCGTGCTGGGGCAGGCGGCGAAACCGGAATGCAAGTTAGCTTATAGTGTCGTGTCGGTGCTAACTCCGTGGTTTTGATAGGCGTTCTGTAGTCATGTGAGAGAATTGGTTGCTTTTAGGCAATACATACTGAAGCATGAAAGCATTCAGGAGTGAAGGGACAAGGTTTTTTAAAACAATTTTCAATGACAGTTTACGTTCAATAGTATTCTGTGTTAGTTTCAGATGGACAGGGACAACTTACTGATAAATGGCTCAGAAAAAAACCCCCATGTGGGGGGATGGGGAGGAGGGGGAGGCTGAGACTGAGGGAGGGAGGAGGGGCGGGGAGAGAGAATATAAAGCAGTAAAATGTTAACACCAGGGGAATCTGGGTGAATGGTACCCAGGAATCCTTTGTATTATTCCTGCAACTTTTCTCTAA